CATAATAAAGCACCATCTTAACACAAAATAACCACAGCATAACATAATTCAAAGTGCTGAAAGTACTACTACGAGTTGATGGTATTGATTATATAATGTTTAAATGAGTTGAGGTCTGTAGTCCATATATGGATTATGTGATATTATATGCATTAATTGATAAAAACTATCACTTTAAAATCTTTACTTTTTGTTTTCTTTCAGAAATAAAATTATATTTTATTTACACCTTTTCCATCATGTATTTTTACCATGTATATTTATTTTTTTAATATATACTGGAATGTATAATAATTTATCACAAATCGAACTTTTAAACATAGAAAAAAAATAATACTACATGTAAGTTAGTTTTGGGATTTTTCGTAAAATGACAATGTAGCTTGCATTTAAAGTAATTTGTATTTTTACAAAATATTAAAGGATACCATGGTTACAGAGCACAGAATATCATCATTAAAACTACCGAGAACAGTTTTTGGACACTTGATATCATTTGACAGAAAAATCATATATCAAGTGACTAGAAATTCAAATAGGGAAAATGGCACAACTGTTGTAAAATCATTTTACAGAATTAAAACAACTAAGTAGACAAAAAACAAGAAAAAGTTTTAAACACACATATCTCAAACTAATAGGCCAAACCTACAATAGTATTACAAGTAGGGAATTATTATTTACAAATAGAGCAAATTGAATTATTTCATTAACATGCTCATTGAATATTTTCACTGCTTTCTTAAATTGACATACAATTTGACATTTTCAATGCACATCAATATGTTCCAATTCTCGTGATTAAGCCATTCCTAAAATTCATATCTTTTACTTTCATTTTATGTATATTACATAATTCAATTTTCTTGATTTAGTTACTATTGAAATTCAACTCCTTGTCTTTCAAAATTTACATGCACATATGATATTTCAATTCTCTTGATTTAGCCATTCTTGAAATTCAACCCCCTGTCTTTTATGATCGTCGATATGCACAAAAAATATTTTAATTCTCTTGATTACACTACTCTTGAAATTGAACTTCTTGACATTTAATTGAAATGGTCATTTTATATGTCATTTTGTTTGGTTTAGTCACTCTTGAAATATAACTACTTGACTTTAATTGATATGCACATTTTATATATCATTTCTCTTGGTTTAGCCTTTCTTGAAATTCAACCACTTGACTTTCATTGATACAAGTATGCACGTTTAAAAAATTTCCAATTCTTTCGGTTTTTCGACTGAAGATTTTAAATTTATCACAATGGCATGATACTGACTATTTACATGATCTATCTACTCTTGAATTAATTTGATTTCTTGATCTCTTCACATTTTTAAATTGATGCATTTCACATTTAATTTATCAATAACACCCCACTTAATTTTTTGTTTTTGTTTTTATTTATTGCCTTCAGTACTTTTAATTTTACTTTATAACATGGCCAGCATCTGATAACAAAACACAGCTGGACATATTAAAGAAAAGTACTTTCCAGTGTAGTGCTGACAATTAATGAGATAAGAACCACAGTCGTGTTAAGTGACCATTGCTGTATTTAAAGCTTGCTGTGAAACAGATCTAGATTGTTGTTTTGCAAGACATGTCACTTTTGTTGACCGCATGTCCCTAACACTATTTTCTTTTGCGGATGGACACAAATTCCAATAAAAATTAATAATAAATATTAAGGTTTATAAACACTTCAAAGCATACCAGGAAACATATTCTTCTTCTGTAGATTATGAAAACTGTAAATAAACCAATATTATACTAGAACCCGTAGGCAAAATACTCAAATGAAAATGTGATTAGTTTCGATACATTGGGGAATCCCTTACTAGTCACATAACATGAGTTGATTAACCATCAACTCGTAAAAAGCACCATCTTCACATGAAATAACCACAGCATAACATAATAAAGCACCATCTTCACATAAAATAACCACAGCATAACATAATAAAGCACCATCTTCACATGAAATAACCACAGCATAACATAATAAAGCATCACCTTCACATGAAATAACCACAGCAAAAATAATAAAGCACCATTTTCTAATGAAATAACCACAGCACAACATAATAAAGCATCACCTTCACATGAAATAACCACAGCAAAAATAATAAAGCACCATCTTCACATGAAATAACCACAGCATAACATAATAAAGCACCATCTTCACATGAAATAACCACAGCATAACATAAAAAAGCACTATCTTCTCATGAAATAACCTGACATAAGTCAGCTATGGCATTCCATAGAAACTAATAGAACTAACATGAATTTTGCTTATAAAAAAAAATAAATCTATATAAATTTTGTCAAAGGTTCCTTGTAAAAGGATGCATGTAAAATTTGCTGGTAATTAAGTTGAATTCTTTGACTGAGAAGAAGAAAGTAAGGAAAATAGTTTGGGTTTCATTTTTTTCAAATTATAATTTCCCTTACATAAAATTTTGGATTAATTTATTACCTATAGTATTTAAACTTTAATCAGAACAACTAAGCAATGCATTTTTAGTAAATATATAAATTTAATACTTTGAAAATTCACCAAAATGTTGCTCTCTGCTACATTATACATTAGATATGTTAAATATTAGATGTGGCATTGTACAGTATTGATGTGTAAAGTGAGACTTTGGTTCTTTTTCAACAATTTCACCATCACAGCAGTGGCTGGAACCATGAAAAATTCACAAGGAAGAAGAATGTATTATTCATAATAGACAGGGAGTTGACTTTTTCTGTGGGCACAATTGTCATCACGCTTTTGAAAGGAAAATCGTGTTATATATTGTCATAAAATTCCAAAACTGCTATTTTAAGTTAAATATTTTTCTGGAATCAATTATGAAAATCAAGTTCTTTAAATGCATGTTTGTAATTTGATGAATTGGGTATATACCAGGGTTGATCCAAAAATATTATGTCACAACTGCTATAATTTTTTTTAAAAATAGTATAATAAGATAAACACAATTTTAGGTTTTGTCTATTGACACACTGTTAGAAAGTTACTGACATTGGCATCCCCATATCTTTTTAACTTCTCAGGTACTCTTTTTAATAATTTTTACTGCCAATAAAGTCAAACCTGGTTATCTTGGACTCAATGGGACTGAGACAAAACTTTGAGATACACAATGGATTTGAGAATATTGAGGTTAAAGTACGTATTAAAGAAAAAGTTGTTGGAGCTTCTAACTCACTTTGGCATATATGCATGGTATTCAAGCTATCTAATATGTTTGAAATACCAAAGTTCATTTACACCTTTCTAAACAATTTTGAATGATTCACACCTATATGACACTGAATTGGGTGCGTATCATTACCGCTACATTTTCAAAATTTTCATTACCGCTACATGCACATTACCGCTACAAAAAAGGATACATTACCGCTACATTTAAAAGTATACATTACCGCTACATTGCCTCTTTCATTAGGCAGCGTCTTGTGCATGTACAGTACAACATTAATATGCATGCATAAGACCTGTTTCCCTGCATCTCCACACTTTTGAGTGTTTAAAAGTCTTAATACTTATACCGCGATTTGTTACAAACTTCTCAATAATAGCCATGACATTCATGTGATGCTAAATCGACTACAGACTTATATATACTCATTTTCATTAGAATTCAGACCCAAATTGTACTTCACTACATAGTGAGTGTATTATATTGAATGGAACTCGTATCCCGTGCCATTGCTGGCCGATTCGGTATGAAGCGGTAATGAATTGTTGTCAGCATTAGTCCCTTTGATAAAATGTAGCAGTAATGATCGCCCGAAAATTTGAGAAAATGTAGATGTAATGAGTTGAAATTTTTCACAATGTAGCGATAATGTTGACCTCCCACTGAATTAATCCCTTAAAGAATAGGTCACCTGTATTTCTAAAGTGACTTAATAAAACATGAAAGAACATTCAAACCAAAGCAGATGCAGCAATGATCAACTACATGATTGTGCAGAATTGTTAAAGAGAAGGGCACCTGCCTGGCTGCATCATTTACATATGCAATATAATAAAGTCTTTATGAATTCTGTATGTTCTAATGCATGTGGTACTTTATCACAGCTTTCATTTTGAATTATTTCATTCCAAAAGAATACAAGTGTTTCCAAACATTATCTTGGCATCCCATTGTTGAAAATCCTCCACTCTGACTTTGAAAGAAGCACCCTCGTTGCTGTGCATACTTTATTAACTTCCATATAACAATAAACATAACAGCTAATATGTAACATTTCTTTGATGAAGGAATGAGTAAAGGCAATGGCAATTTACTCAGTATCCGTTCTCTTTACAGTTCAATGCTTAAAAGCATTTCCATTACTATAAGATTAATTTTAATCATCTATAACCCTATAATCCTTTTAGAAGTTTATATGTATTAGCCTATAGTACCTTTACAAAAATGTATACTTGTACTGATACATAGGTACATGTATATGGTTACCTTTCTGAAGATTGTTCACCTATGGTTATTTTTATACAATTGTGTACAGGTGTATATTTTTGATATCCTCATCTTTGATAAATTGTTTGTCTGCCCTCTCCCAACCGAATTACTAAAAAAAACAACCAACTCAAAACTTTTTTTTTACCTTTAGGAAACAATTTTTTTTTTTATTCATTTCGAAGATTTCTCCTCCCATTAATAACTATCTTAACTTCATATTCGCAAGTGTTTTAGAATGAAAAAAAAAAATTTCCCCTTACCTACCTTTCCATTTTCATTATCCGGTGTCAGGAGAAGGAAAGCAAACATTTTTTTAAAGATAGCTTAATTCATCTAGACTTTAACCAAGATGCGAATTGGTCTACACTTCTGCTTTCATATAGATGCAAATTATACCTACCTGTACATAAAATTGTATTGGTAGTGGTGGGCCTTATGATTATCTATATACACAAATAAAGAATGATCTATGACTGAACAAAGTTTTCCTAAAACAAATTACTGCTAACCTTCTAATACAACTTCAGCTTGAGACAGGGGCAATGTGTAGTCCTTTGTAGGCACCTCCTCAATCGCACCTCGATACAGGATCTTTGGTTCAAAGAAGATACAGGGGTTAGGGTCTCTGATACAGCTTAGAAGGAGGCCTTTGGCCTGGTAGGGGCCTCGAGGCATCACAACCTGAAGGAAAGAATTTCAATTCAATTAAAGAAAAATGGAGCAAGAATCTTCTTTTGACACCCTCTTGACGTAATAGTATTTTCCATCAAAAGAAGAACTTCGATCTGTTTCATCTTTGTGAGCTCTTTTTCTAGCATGTAGAACGTGGAATACATTTATTTTGGTTGCACATTTGTATACCGGTAGACTATCTTTTCAAAATTAAAATAAAAAAAAAAATTATGAGACAATTTTATTGATTATTTTTTTCATCTAATTTCCTCCATCAGTTACAATGATGGTTCATATTTGCATCCATGTTTCCTGGATGTGTGTCTGCAAGATACCTAAAAAAGTATTTATAGACTTCAAAGTGTCTAAAAGTGGCTTGTTTACACTCCAAAAGCTCTGAAGGGAACCTGTCAGGCACTATATACTGAGCCAAGTTTTTTTATAAATGGAAAAAAAGAAACATCCTGAACATTAAACAGGAACTAGCTGGTACATAAAACCTGATATATATAAGTCATTGTAAGAATAGATGTATAAATAGTTTCATGAAATCACTCTCATAATACATGTACTATTTTCTTCCTTTGAGTAAGTATTCATTTCATTTTTTCAGTTTGTGAAATTACTGGAAAAATTTTCATGTCCTTAAACAAATGAATATTTATTTTGCTAATGTAAAAGGAATTTCAATTAGTATATTTGAAAGATTTTTAAACCTGTGCTTTTAATCACATCTGCAGACAATAAAATTTCGTAACTCAAAGCAGATTGGTTTTATAACATGTATATAAGCAAAATTAATAATTAATGTATATATAAAATTATAATTAAAAAACATCTCCTTTTCTGTAACTATATGCAAACTTACTTTTAGTACTACTTTACATGTAGTTTTCAGGTCTGTATTATTTAGAATCTATAGAATATTGAGATTCAACATTATGTATTCAACCCCCTCCCCCCACCCCCATTAAAAATTCCCACATTTGAAGAATATAAATATATTCTATTCCTTGCCGTTATTGAAAAAACATATTTTTTGTCTCCCGCTTTCACTGAAAGTGGGGGATTTTAATTTGGGCATGTCCGTCCATCTGTATTTCTGTCTGTAACACTTTCGTTTCCGCACGATATCTTGTGAACTCTTTGAGCTTTCGCAATGAAATTTTGCAAAGCAACTTCCTATGGCCTAAAGAAGAACCCTATTGATTTTGAGGTCAAAAGGTCAAGGTAATAAATTCTGTCTGTTTTAACACTTTCATTTCCACACGATATCTCGTGAATCCTTTGAGCTTTTGCAATGAAATTTTACATTACAACTCCCTGTAGCCGAAGGAAGACCCCTATTGATTTTGAGGTCAAAAGGTCAAAGTTCAACGTCGTAAATTCATACATTCCGTCTGTGTGTAACACTTTCATTTCTGGGCAATATCTCAAGAAGCATTTGAGCTTTTGCAATGAAATTTTATACCATAACTCCCCTAAAGCCAGTCTCTCGTCCCTCTCAAAGTGTCCCACCCCATTTTTTTTTATTTATTTATTGTATTTAAAGTAGCTTGGATCATTTTTAGCACAGGGGCATGTGGAGAGTTATTACGTATAATACAGGTTGTTGGAAGACTTTATATTCTAATTACATCTATTAGAACTGTTTAGTAAAGGCTAAATTAGACACCATGTATTGTGTAAAATTTTGACATCGAACGTGAATATAAACATTATATGTGACCTAATATTTGCATTTAATTTGCTCTATGATCAAGTGCCTCCGTGGTCTAGGGGTATGATTCTTGATTAGCAAGTGAGAGGTCTGGGGTTCAAATCCCAGATGATCCTTTTTTTTGAATTTTTTTTTTTTTTTTTTTTTTTTTTTTGATTTACTACATGATAGAATTCAACATGTGAAATTAAAAAGTTATGTTGTCTGGCATGTACAGACTCATAAAATCATTATTACAGTGTGAAAAACATTCTATAAAAAAGAATCTTCTATACACATATTACAGAATAAGCAATCAAATCTTTATATCCATATTGGCATTTTCTGTTTGCTTCAATATACATTGTATACATTTAATAATTCTACAAATCCCCCCCCCCCCCCAAACTGTGCATGCTCTTCTTTTTTCCCTAAGTGGGGGACACAAATTCTCTGAATTAGCTTGTTATTTTTGAAATGATCAGCATATATATATGGTTATGTTCGTTTTAAGTTCATGAACTTTGATTTTCTTTCAAAGCATTTGGTTCATCCATGTTTTTAGTGAAAATTGACCATCTATCATGTCTACCTACACAAATACTACAACTGTATTTCTGTGATGAATTACAGGAAGCATTCATCAAGTTTTCATTAATGGACTACATAAGTACTAAATTTATCACTCCCGTATCACACAGAATCCTGGTACAGAGGCAATTAAAGAAACTGAATAAATGGAAATGCATGATGTAAAACGAATTAACTTTTTCGATATGCATTATGCATCAGTGCATAAATATTTTAAAGTTTTATCCCCTTCATCCATTTAAAGATTGAAAATAAAGCAGTTTTAGATGTGACATGAATTACAATATTTTTTTGTTTTAAATTCAAAACTTAAACGTGTAGGGTATATCTGGGTATTTCCTGACAATAATGAGGTCAGAATGGTATGGAAGGAATATCAACAAGAAACTGTCTAATTAGTTACCTGATTTTGAACCAATGTCAAAACTACATACATCATCTTTGCTATTTACCAATGTTTAAAATTGTTTTCCTCCAGAATTTATTCACATATATTATTAAACAAAACACATAGTGGGGTATATCTGGACAAGTCAATCTCATAAAATACTAAATGCCATTTTAAGTACATTTGTAAGTAGCAAAAAAAGTCATTTGTACGATTTTATATCCTTTGTACGTTTAAGTAAGTCCACTAAATTGTTTCATATAGACCTAATTCAAGTAAGCAAAGAAGGATAACTCTATAAAGGGATATGGTTTGTTACAAGAGAAAAATACCTCCTTATAATGATTCTGAGAATGTGAGAAAAAATGCTTATAAACAAAGTGTGAGCATGGGCAGAGCTGAGCATCACTTACAGAAATATTGGATATTGATAGAATTGTTTCATGTGACACATTTGTGGTCATATTCAACAAGATTTCACTATTTCTCAAAGGTGTCACTTGCAGTGGTCATTTTGAGGTCTATTCATGAAATCTTTGTTTATCTAGATGCTTGTGTAATATAAGTCATGATATTTTTGATGTTCAACTTGCATGAAAATTTTTTTAAGAAAGTTATTTTTGAAGTTATATCAACCATATATTTTCAACTTCAATCGATACATAAAAAATCATAGACCAAATCACATCAAAGATGAGAACTATACATGTAAATCATTTTTTTCTTTTTCTTACTCTGATAAATCATAACATTTTGAACAATGATCCAAATAGAACAAGAAGAAGATCGAAAAAAAAAAATCTTTTAAAAACTTATTTAGTTTTTAAAAAGTTTGTTTTATCTCATTATGATATTTCCCATTAAATTATTTTAGAAATCAAGTTCCTTATAATAAACTGAAGAATGTTTGTATATAAACCTATGATCCCAAGAAAGAATTAAATCTTTCATTGATTATATATTAAATGCCAGTGTCTTTGAGTGAGGGAAAATGGAATAACTGTACCTTAAGCCCTGGTACATGAGCAAAGAAAGCCTCGGGACTCTGTGAGTGATAGAGGGCGCCATGGCCTACAGCACTGCAGGGGGATCGGATCGTCAGTTTCCCACAGTCAAACAAGTCACCCGTCCTATAGCGGAACTTTGCTGCCTCATTGGTAATCTACAGGAAAATAGAAGCATTTATAAACAAAAGTTAAAATACTGGTTCAATAATTTCAAATAAATGAGGATCTACAGAAATTTATCTTAATAGGTATTCACCACTAGATCATGAAAATTTTCAAAACAATATAATAAATGTTGCTATGATCAACCACTCCCACCCCCAATCCTAACAAAAAAAAAAAGATAAAATAGAAAATCTGTAATGGCATTATCCACCAAACTTCTTTGTAGACTTCAGATAAAAACAAAATTTTGAGAGAAAATTCAATTTAATTTTTTAAAGCTTTTTTTTCAAATAGGTGAAATGGAAGATTGAAATATCATTGAACCATAAATCTTAACCTTAAGCTGCATGCCTACATGTGCAGAACTCACTTGATCAAATGCTGGGAAGATGTAATCTGCAAACTGTATTTCTGCAATGGCCGTAGAACCTGCCACAGCCAGACCTATCCCAAAGGCCACTATCCCCTGCTCACTTAGTGGACTGTTAAAAACTCGATCTCCACCTATCAGGAATAGACCATGATGGCATTAACCTATTCAGCTGGCCAACAGAATAAAATTATGGTGTTGCAATTAGTAGTATAGAGCTCAGGTATACATGTCTTCAGGTATACTTTAGTATACTTTACAAGATGACACATTCATATAACAGAGTAAATTTCATCAGGTGATGCATTTTATCAACTTACCATGTTTATCTTTCAGTTCATTACTGCACCTAAATACCCCTCCGAAGGCCACATCCTCCCCAAATAAAACTACAAAAAAATATCATGGGTTGTTATAGATGACGGTATATTTCACAGCTTTATCAACATATGTTTCAATGAAATACATCAGTTGATCTTGTTTTTATTTGAAAATTATTATGGAACTTAATTTTAATGCTGTACAGGTATGAATGTTCTTACCTGCTGTAGGATCTGTTGCTAGTGTCAAGTCTAATGTGTTATTGATTGCCTGCACTAGGTTCATACGAGTTGTGTCCCCTGATAAACAAATTAATGAAATATTGAAATTATTAGAATTTTAAATCTGAACTATATAATAATCATCATTAGGCCATAATAAAAAAATCCTAGCTTCTCATCCAAATTTTTTGAAAAATCGAGACGAGCGGGCAGATTTTATTTCATATTTTTTCCACTGTGCAGATTTTTTGTTGTCCTGATCGATCGGTGCAGATTTATCTATCAATAATGCCCCAATAAAAGTCATAGTAGAGGTCCATTTAAATATGCATACATCTTACTACTCATCATCACCAATCTTTCACAACCAATGATCCTTGTTTTAAATTAATACTATTACAGCAATTACCATCTTCACAGCTGTCAAAATCACACTGACATTCACCGGATTTAAAACAAAAGTTGAATGGTAGTTAAATACTGATTCCAATCAGAATCAAGACAAAGAAAAACAGAAATTTAAAAAAATCAAGGCGGGTTAAAAAATCGGGGCAGGCGGGGATGAGAACATAGGATTTTTTTTATTATGGTCAGCTTTCTATTTTATCTCTTCAAGAACATGCATCATAAAAGAGACCAAGAAGGCTTTTCTTACTCAAGATTATATATGGACAAATAAGTGAATTAATTTAATCCTTGACTAACTGACATTTGATTAAAACTGCTCCCTATTTGCATGCATGAAGATCTGCTCATTATATTTAATTACAGTAGGTGAACAAGTGCATGTGGCGGTCAGCCAGGTTCGATTGCCGGTGGCCAGATAGCTCAATTGATAGAGGACCTGTCTAGTGATTCAGGGGGCACAGGTTAGAATCCTGGTCTGGTTAACATTTTTCTCCTCTCCGGTTACATTTGGTGCCATATGCCATATGATTTGGAAGTGACAGGGGAAAGACCTGCCAGGGAAGAGTGTAGGTTGGTGTCTTAAAAAATAGATCTCAGAAGAGGGAGAAATGTGGCTGTCAGGCAGGGCAGATGGCCAGAGGCCAGATAGTACAGATGGTAGAGCACCTGACTAGTGAATTCAGGGGACCAGGGTTCAAATCCTGGTCTGGTCTTTTGCCTTTTTCTCCTCTCCAGTTGCACAAGTCTCTCCAAGTCATGACAGGCCTCAGGAATCTAAGGCACCACTAAGGATTTCCATTTACTGAACTTTTAGTTATATCACAGCTGCATTAAATTATGAAATCGCATCTCTTGCCCTATTTGCATTCAAATATATTTGGGAGGTATGTTGATATAAGCTGTATAAAAGTTTATGGCATTTAAAAAAGATATCAGATGTGTCTTCTCTGGTGTATTATATGCATTCAGAAGCAATTCTGGAAACAAATGCCTTGCTTGTTTTAATTTTTCTGTTAAAAGCAACATCTGCAATTCTAAGTCTTAGACCATGCAGAAAGGATCAGTATGCAAGCCGATAATGTAGCAAATTCTAAGAGAATGTAAAAGATTATTCAATTCTAGTTGAAAAGTAGCATCGCCGCTCTCATACATAAACATATGATACGCAGAAGTATGTATCTAAGCACCTGCAGCAAGTGCCCATGCAAAGAAATATTGCAGAAACTCAAACAGACACAGCAGACACAGTCGACTTTGGCTTGACTTTCAACTTCCGAGTTTTATTTTCAGCAGTAATATCTATCCACATACCATAAACTGCTGATGGTGTGTCAGGCACATATGTAAAGTGAGCAGATCTTGCAAAATTAAGGTCTGTCTGTCTGGAGACGCCTTCTAATACGGTACAACGGCGAAGGCCCCTGAGTATTGTTTTCACAGAGGCTGCCATTTCTACTTTCGTTTTCAATACTGCTCCGCAAAAAATAATAATAATAAAGTAAACGTATGTTAAAAATATTTTATACATTATATCTAATTTGTAATTGTAAATCTGTATTCAAAAAAGTCAATATATATGATTTGCAATTTTTAAAAACTTTTGTTTTTATTATATTTTATAAGTCCGCGGAGAATGAGTGTAAACTGGGTCCGGTGTAAACTGAAAGTACAATTTCACAATAATGGCAGATTCGGTCGGACCAGGGATTGTAGAGTGGTATGGAGGCGGAGATCGTCCTGGACACCGCTGTGGTTACTGTAAAAGTACCAATACAAATGTTTCTGATGGTAAAAACAAATATTTTCTAAAAATTATTTTATAGGATTTTTTTTTTTAAAAATCCTCTCATCATCTTGTTGTCAGTTGCTAACCCAAACAATGTCAAGAGATAAGCCATGTATAATTTGGCTCTGGGTAATTTGCTGGGTGGAATGGATTGATCAGAGGTTGATGCAGGGAAATGTGTAATAATTGAGTAGAGTCCGTTTAAACCAATATTTTGTAAGCAAACAGCCATACCAAAACTTTTTTTGCACTATGTATATATAGTGAGTGACTTACCTAATATAAGATCTTCCAGTCAATGAAATCAATAGGCCTCCTGGGAAGTTGGGAAGCACACACATTTTATGTAAATTAACAAAGTCAAATAACTGCTATTCATCTTTTTTGAAAATTTCTATTGTTTATGTAAAGTGAATCCCATGTGTCGTTGAATGTCACTCTTCAAACTACAAAAAATTTACCTCACGAAAGTAAGTGATTTTACAGTAAATTAAAGTCTTTGTGCCAATTAGTTTAACTTTATTCTTACTCTGTACATTTTTATACTACATTATAGCAAGCGCAACTCAATAGACTAACGTATAAGAAAAGAGGAAATTCAGAATGAAATCTGTATATTTGTCAGGCAAATTATCCTGTGCAACCTTCCCAGAATTCCTTTGCTTCCAGGATTCCATGTGATAATGGCGAATAAAACAGTCCCCCGGTTTGGTAAAGATTTAATTTATGCAGGGAGCTAGCTTAAAAGAAACAAAAAAAAAAAACAGTTGCATCTACTCTATAATACCTTTTGTTAAAATATGGCACTTGGCCTATTTATATAGACTCTGTTACAGACATGCAACTTTCATACGACATCATATATGATGTACAGTTTAGACTGTGTCACATGCAGATTGAAATTTAAAGAGTCGGATCAAAGTTGCAAGTGAAACTTAACTATGTTAATCTGCGCTCACCCAAACATGCAGTCACACTGTAAAAATATTATACTCAGGATATCACTTGGAAAAAAAAAAACTTTCAAGAGAAAGTATGAGAAACTGAGTTATAATTTCCTTGTAACTATATATTTATCTTAAGTGAAATATTAATATAAAGTTTCCTTGTTGAAGTGAGTTACTGTTAAAATATTCTGAGAAAGCAATGAAAGTAAATAATATAATATAATGCAATACTAATTTGAAACAATAATGATCATTTCTTTTGGAGAAAAGATTCAGGAAGCCAAGTACTAATAATCTGTGTACACTTTCTCAATTTGATTTTATGTCTTACAATTAGCATTGACATATTAACCTAAACAGACTTTTTTCCACATGCGAGAAATATCTGTGTTTTTCACAGTCTTATTTCACAAGCGAATAATTTTATAGTAATAGACATTTTTTGGTGGACAGCAGATATGTATATAATTAAACAGGATTTAAAACACACAGCCAATAAACTCATTTTCATTTTCTTTAACTTAAGTGTGTTGACTAATCTTGTTCTTAAGAGAAAAAAAAAATCATGATAAATCTTGAAAATCATAGAATCTTTTTTTTTTTTTTTTTTTTTTAGAGATTGAAAATAATCTTACATTGTATAACATGATAATTCAGGAAACTTCATAATTCACCTTACTTTATAAAGCTCTTAATTAGGTATCATTGAGGAAAATAGTTTATTTATGCTTATAATTACTAACAATATACATAAACAATTACATTGCTTTTCTTGAAACTGACACTGCCTGATTAGGTACATAAAGGTAGTCCATGTTTATACTCATGTTCTTTAAGTTTCTTGATTGATGCTGCTATTGAGATGTTATTCAAAACAAGAGAGAGAGAAAAAAACTAGTAAAATTGAGCTAGAAATATACATGTATTTGAAAATATGAGTTGCTTAACCTCCTTATTTTCCTTATTTACCCCCATCTTCCAGCTTTTCTAGGCTGGTTGAATTGTCCTACTTCAGGTTATTTTGATTAAAAATTTATTGTTTGCCTTTTTATTACAGGAATGTGGTCTCACATTCTGACAGTGCAAGATTATCAGGACCTAATAGACAGAGGCTGGAGGAGGTATGGATGGGGGGGGGGGGGATTAGGGGGTGGAAAGAAGGGGACATAATAAACAGGTTGTAGATGGGCAAAGAAAGACTTGATGAGGATAAAAGAGAAAAACGGGGAAGAGATGTCAGAGAAAAGATTAATAAAGATTGAGCAAGAGAAGGAAAATTATTGTCATTTTTGTCCACAAATTTACACAGTCTTGTTTGTTTTTAGGAGTGGGAAGTACTGCTACAAACCCAAAATGGACACAACATGCTGTCCCCATTACACGATTAAAATGGAAGCCCTCAATTTCAAAATGTCTAAATCACATAAGAAAATCATCAAACAGTTCAACAAATTCATCATCCATGGGAAGAAAAGAGGGGAGCATGAATCAGAAGAGGGGGGCATGGAGGAAACAGAGGGAGGGATTTTAAAAGGGGGAGGGACAGAGAATGAGAGTAAGAAAGAACAAAGTGGCTCTAAAGATTCTTCAGACATAGAAAAAGTGAAGGATACAGATAAAGGCAAGGAGGAAACACAGACAAAACAGGATAAAGCAACACCAAAGCCAGGTATAAAAAACCTATTGTGTATGACACAAAAAAAGACACATATAATATGAAGCATTTTAATTTTAATCTGTAATCTTTTGTTTTTAAAATTCTTTGATTATTATATGAAGTATTTTCTCTTCCTTTTGCCTATTTGAGCATTGTCTTATGTTAAACTATTTTTGTAAAACTTCAGATTTTTCACAAGTGAGGCTAGTGTTGTGATTAAAGTTGATTTTTTTTTTTTGAAAACTGTGTCAAGGGACAGAAATCTGGCTAAAACTAATATGTTACATGTATTTTATTGTGTTCACAAGGACTTGGTGCTGATCCTAACAAACCCAAATGTAAGAAAGCTAAGGAACTCAGGAAGGAAAGAAAACTGTCAAAACAAAGTGAAAACCCACAACTAGATAAACAGCCTTCACAAAAATTACAAAAACAGAAAGTAAGATCACAGATCAAAACTAAATAAATAAATAAGTAAATAATAAATAAATAAATAAATAAAAGTAAGATCACAAAAACACACAAAATAGAAAGTAATATGTAAACTCTATATACAGTACCTGAGGCATAAAAGTCAAAAGATTTTCATTTTTTCAGCAAAAGTTTATATTCAAGCAGTTAACTGTTATAGATTTTTTTTTTAACTCATTAAAGTTAGAATTCAGAAAAAAAGAGAAATCATTAACATCAGGTTAAGCTTGCAAAGTAATTCTTGGAACACAACTATAAATTTTAAATTGACATAATTTTTAAAATGAAAACTTATATCATATGAAATAGGGCTTTCTGCTGAACAAACAAATTCTGTTCATAAGAATGTTACATTTTTTTACTTTTAGAACTCAGGGGAGAAAACTCTAGAAGATCTACTGAATGAACCAGACCAGGCAGAGAGCTGTGCTCATAAATTTGAGGTTAGCTTGTTAAAAGATTTATACAGCCTACCTAGTGCAGAGTGTGCCAAAAACTTTTTTCAGCACTACTCCAGTGGGGCTAGATATGGGAAAAATTTACTAACCCAAATCATTTTTTAGTAGCTCTAGCCTCCCCAAAAGTGTGAAAAGTAAAATGACACAATTTATTTTATTTCAGTCCTTTAGATTTAATTTATGTTTTAATTTATACCTTTTCTTAACTTCAGTGAAGGTCTTTGAGTCAATTTATCAAAAAAAAAAAACTTCTTCCTAATTCGAATACGCGTTCAATTTCATGAATTATAATTAATCAAAACGAAGCATGAAGAGCAAGAAATCAACAGGAACATAAAAATCATAGAGAAGGTGGTAAATATATTAGATAATTTTTTGGGGGTACAAAAATGCTTATTAACATTTTATAACAATACTGAGGAAAAAAGTAGAATTCTTTTACTAAAAATTCTACAAGCCCGATTGGCAAATTTTAACTAGAGTGTTCGGGCACTGGGCTTGTCCTTTTGGCACACACTGCTACAGACTCAGTTTTAAATATTATGTCTTCAACTGTGGATATTTTTTAATTCAAATCTAGATCACCGTGCAATGCTTCTTCACTTTTTTATCTTTCTACAAATTTAAAAAATAATTAAATTAAAATTGGCACAAAAGCTGAATTATCAAAGGAAAAGTCTTATTATTGTTGAAATACTTTCAGATAGCACTTCCATTAGTCTCACAGATACCTCATCATTTTTTCTGTAGTATTATTTGACAGAATCTTGTATATCTCAAGGGAAATCATATATTTTGGATCCTAAAAATTTGTTTTGTATACTTAATGTATGAAACCCTATAGCTGCTGTAATGTAGCAATCTCCATTTTTTTAAAAAGAAAATGTAAGATAAAAAATTGGAGAAATTGGAGAGGGCTACATTATTACAGCTATATAATGAAACCCCTATATCAAAACAAATATTTAGAGTGCTGGGTTTATATTTTTATTATTTTTTGGGAGAATTGTACTGCAAATCTGTTTGATAAATCAATTAAATTTAGCATTGAGTTAAAAAAGAAAACAGAGAAAAAAAATCTGGAAAATCTGTCTTTTGGTCAAATTTGCATGCCTTCATCAGAATTCATACAAATCACATCTTACCCTTCAAGTATTCTTAATCAGTAAATGTACATGTAAATTCTGAGACCTTGTAACTATATTTGCAGATTCGCCTGGTTAGGTCTGAGCCCCGCAGTCCAGAATTTTCACAATCCTTTGACCATGCCCACTCAGTTTATCATTCCTATCAAATGAAAATTCACAACGACCCTCCTGAAAAACCCAGTGTGGCCCAGTACACCAGATTTCTGTGTAATTCTCCACTACAGGTAAATGCCTTATTGGACATCACTTCACATTTCAGGTAAAATTGGTCAGGGTTAATCCTCCATCTTCTGAGTTTGAGGACACTTACAGAGAGTCCCATGGGGTGTTCAAGAGGTACCAGATGGGGATCCATCATGAAGATGAATGTGATTGTTCGGAGGGACAGTTTGATCAGTTCCTGTGTGAGGGACCCCTGGAGGTAGACAGAGAGGAGGGGGCAAAATTTATCCTTTTTAATAAAAAATTATCAGATACTTGTGTATCAACTGAGATAAGATTTTATTTCTTGTTTTTACAATGATTGAATTACACTGAAAGGTGAAGAATTTTCTTGTACAGTTGAACTTTGGTGTCTGGAACACCAATATCTCAAAAACTGTGGATTTGGAAGTCCCAGCCACTTATTCTTTAAGTATTTTACCCTCAAATCCTAGGATATCTCGAGTATATTCCTCGGTCCCATCAAGTTTGAGATAATTAGCTTTGATTGTAATTCAACTCTTAAGTTATTAAAGCTAATGCAAGAATTCAAAAGTTAATAGCATTTTATACACATTTATGAAAAAAATCTTAAGGTGACTTAAAATACAAAACAAAAATGCCTTTTTGTAGGAAGAATATAAGGAAGGAAGGCTTCCTATGGGTTATGGATCATTTCATCAGCAGTATTGGCTGGACGGACAGATTATAGCTGTGGGGGTCATTGATATCCTCCCAAACTGTGTATCCTCTGTGTACCTCTACTACCACCCAGACTATGACTTCCTCAGCCTGGGTACCTACTCTGCTCTCAGGTGTGTTGTTAGAAAGTACTTATCAAACTCAGCTCTCAAGTGAGTTACCAGTAGATACAATGAAAGTACCCCTCAAATGAGTTAAGTACCCACCGTACTCATATAACTCATTCAAATTTTTTGGTAGAAGTTTTGATTTAAGTTTTATCATAAAACAAAAAAATTTTCACTCATTTATAATTTTTTGGAAATACTTACGTATAATCATCATTTCTCTAATATGTTTTCCAGGGAGATTGCATTTGTTCGTGAGTTGAACAAGAAAGACCCAGACCTTACTTATTACTACATGGGATACTACATCCACTCCTGTCCTAAGATGAGATACAAGGTAAAATCATTCGAGAGCTCTTCTTTATTCACACAACAAGCCTGAGCACATGAACTTGAATGACCTCTAAATCATGCAAATGACCCTGTGCTTTGTCAAGTATTTTTTTTTTTTTTGAGTTCTTGTAGAATTTGCAAAAAAAAGACATATCCTAATATATCATCTTTTATATACTGTATACAACTTTTTCTGAAATACTTGAATTATTTTAGTTCTTTTTGGTAAAATCTTATTTTTTAAGGTTTATATATATATTTTTTAGGGACAGTATTATCCATCCTATTTACTCTGTCCTGAGGTTTATTCCTGGCACCCTATTGAGGAGTGTGCCCCAAAACTGGATAAAAACAGGTACTCCAGGTTTGCTGACCCTGATAAAGGTAGGTACTGTAAATCACTTTTCGTGTAATTACATTTGCGAAAAAAAAAATTCTTGCACATACATGTAATTGTATTAGTAAAGATTATATGTAGAACAATTACCAGAATTCATGAAAATTTTGTCTCGCTTATAAATTCAATATTACTATCTGGCGAAAACAAGGTGTCGCAAAATTTTGGTGATCTACATCAGTAGTTTATTTTTGTCTATATTGATGTCATAAGTTTTCAGCTTGATTTTGATGTTTGAGCTTAAGGTTCATTATCCCTCTTTTCACTTGTATAAAATTTTGCTTTTGATTTTAAACTTTGATTAAAGTTAAACTTATGATTAAAATGCATATAATTTCAAAATATCTTTCAGGGAAAAATTTGACATACAAGACCTTTTAATTAACTTGATAATTTCATTAAGAAATAATAGTGATTTATCCCAGTGAGAGTTATTTCTCTTATCAGAGGGGCAATGAACCTTAAATAACCTGTTATCTGATCTGGGATTACTCGTATTCAGTCCCTGAAACTTCTGTAGATATCATTATTTCCTATGTGGCTTGTAACACAAGCTTTGATTGGTTACAAAGTCGGGTGTAAATTTCCATACACCCAAGTTGAGCCAGGAGTAAAAAATGTTATGTCACAATGCATAGTTTCTCTGTGATAAAAAGCAAATATTATGACATCATGATGCAATGTAGGACGTAGTAAATCTTATTGATAGCTTGAAACACAGTTGATTGGACTTGTTTACAAAGAATTTATTTGGGTACATAGGAAATAAATTTGTTATCCACGTCCAATCAAAGATGTATGGGGATTTACCCCGGGTTTTATTCCATACATCTTTCAGCCTTAGGGTGAATGGAATAAAACCCGAGGTAAATCCCCGTACATCCTTGATTGGACCTGGATAACTAATAATGTTTACTATCAGTGCTCATATGAAATATATCACATATATTAGAAATGGTCATAATGTACACCCTAAAAATGCTACACTGCATATAAATTTTTTCAGAATATGTTTTTCTGTTAATTAAACATATCATATAACATGCATCTATGCATGCATATTTAGCTGGTGTTCACTTAATTTATTTATTTTAATTCAAAAACCATCAAATTATTATTTCAGAGGATGAGGAAGGGAAGGTGGATCTAGATAAAGTGATGATTCTCCACAGGAGAATGGCAATGACATATGAACAGTATAAATTACTCAACCCTAAGAAGCAGACCTCCCATGACAAAGTCGTGAGGAAATATTCCAGCTTTGTGGGGCGTAGTTGTGCCACAAGAATGTTACTCTACAGAGATTAGGGTTCACAGGATTTAATTTATTTACTATTTATAGTTTTAAGATTTTTGTCACATTCACTACTTGATATCGTTATTACTTAACTGAACTCTCTTGTGGAGGAGGAAGGAAACGTTCATTGGCATTACCACGGTAGCTAGGGGCAATGTGCTGATGAATAAAGCACAAAATCTTATCAATGTAGATTTTTCAAGGACACATAAGAAAGCAATGCTGTGAAATATCTTTCTGAACATTCAGTAAACCACACCAATAAACATAGGAGTTATTCCTTTTGTGTTATATATTGGTTGATACTCCGCTAAGCCCAATTTTCTAATTGAATTCAAACATTTTTTTTTCTGTTTATCATAACTTTTGGAAGTAAATAAAGATACTTAGAATATTCCAGATTTGATGAGCTACCTTTAGAAATAAATGCTCAGCAATACATAATAATATACAGTCAAACCTCCTTATCTCAAACTTGATGGGACAGAGAAAAAACAGATATCTGAAAATTCGAGATAAATTATTTAAATATTATTTAAAAATTAAAAATTTATTATAAATATATGTGTTTATACTTCAGAACCACATCTCTAGAATTATGTTGTCACTGTGAGTCAAACATCGTATCGTAATGCTTTCATTGATGTAAATGTATTGTTGAAAGATTTAAAGACACCCCCTAAAAGTATTTTACTTTTTTAAAGTTTCTTTTATAAATTCGTAAATTCGATCAACTGACAAAAATCATGGCAAATTTACTTTTAAAGTGGGGAAGTAGATCGATTTCATCGACCGCAATTTCATCTGCTCTTCAGAGCATGTGTAAAATGTGAAGTTAAATTTACATCATATATACAAAAATATCAAGGTTTAATATACACGTACAACTTGTAGACAGTGATACAAGTATTTTTTTGTATATCGTACATAATTATGTTGGGGGGGGGGGGGTTACACTTGGTTTGTCTCATAGTACATTGTATGTATATTATTACATAGAAAAAATACTAATTGTTTTAAATATCCATTCTATTAAATTATTTTTTATTAATATACCATTTGTATAACGAATTGGTGATTCAAAAAAGTTGTGTGTGTATGCTTTTGTAATTATAATGAGTAGTGGTTCGGTTGCGAATTTGATTGCAAAAATACTGCAAATATTAGTGGTTCACGTTAAGTCTGCAACACAGTAAAATTTCAAATGATGGAGAACCCTGAAGAATTAATGGTTGGGACCTCCAAATCACTACAACATATCCATGGTATTGGAGATTCAGTGTTCTAGATACCAAAGTTCAACTGTATTGTACTTTTAGCATACTGATTGTTCAAATCATTCTTTATCACTATAGTGTACACAATATGTCCAGGAAATTTCACAAGATTTAGAGCTTACTTGACTTTCCTGCAAAAGTGCAGAATAAATTAGATAGGGTTGTACCATATTCAGTGATAGAACACTAAATCAATTTTCTATTGTTTTTTTTTTTAATTTATTTTGAAGACCATAGATATATTCCATGTTGGTCATTTTGATGAACATTTGTAGTTGTTTTAATTACTTGTTCTTAATTGCATGTATCATACTGAAAAGACTTAGTATATACTACTAACCAAATTTCAATTGGATATATAGAGGATATTCAATGTTTTGTAGTTGGATATGGAATTTATTTCACGAGCGGGACATGATTTTTTTACGCCCGTCTTTAGACAGGACGTATTATGTTATGGCGTTCATGTCCGTCTGTCTGTCCGTCTGTTCGTCTGTCTGTCTGTTAGCTTTTCTCGTGTCCGGCTCATAACTTTAATACTATTAGGCCTAGGATTATCAAACTTTGTCAGCTGATACTTCTTGGATAGCAGGTGTGTCGCGCACTAAAAGTAGGTCGCTCTGACCTTTAATTAAGATGCTATGGCCAAATATGGAAAAATCCAGTCCGGCTCATAACTAGAAAACTATTAGACTTAGAATCATCAAACTTGGCCAATTTATGCATCTTAGATAGAAGGTGTGTTGCGACCTATTTCAAGGTCACTGTGACCTTTAATTTAAAGTGAAAGAAGATGGGTGAACAAGGCGTGCAGAATGCCTATAGCTTTAGATATTAATAAAATCACATTCAATTTTTGAATTAAGTATTTAAAATAAAGTTCTCATTATTGAAATTTATGAAATTATGACCAACAAAACTTTTCTGATAAAAAAAGATCTCGGAAAAAATTATTCTTTTATTAAAAAAATAAAATGGTATTCGTGGGATTCGAACCCCTAACAATAAAAACCCGGAGTATCATATTGCTTTGAGACTAGCGCGCTAACCACTACGCCACGCAGCTCCTGATGAATAGTGGCATTTAAATCATGTTTGTGATATGACCCTTGACTTACTGGACTTCAAGTATTTCTCGGAAAGATGCGAATGTTTTGTCATAAAAGTGTACTTTTAAGGTATAGTGGGTCTTTGCTCCATGTTTTTGTTAACCAAAAAATGTATATTTTTATGCAAACTTTTAGGATCAACTTTCAAAAAAATGGAGCGAAGACCCACTCATATCGAAAAATTTTGTTAAAGTGTGAGAAAATGATCCTTTTTGTCCTCTTTAGTGTGTGTGTGCTATTTCGTAGGCAAATAATTTCAGTCTTTGTGAGATTTTTGTAAATTGTAGAGATTTCACAATAAAATATACTTTAATGTTAGATGAAATATCAAAGAAAATTTTTATTTAATTGAGATTTTATTTTTCACTTCATGTTTGTCGCACTATAGGCACTTCGCCCGCCTTGTTCACCCATCTTCTTTAAAAATAAAACTATCTTTTTATTATTAGATTACACAATCCCCAAAAATGCAAGAGTGTTGCAGTATCCTTATTAAAAATATGTGAAATCAAGAAAATACTTATTTTTCATTATATACTTTACAGCAATCTATAACAAATGTAATGTTACAAGAGAAATCCCACCTCTCCCATGGGTGTAATTATCAAGCACTGGTCAAGGAGAATTTGATAACAGAAAATTGCATGTCAAATTAGAGAGAAATTAATGAGTTTAGTGTGAGGAGCTAACTGGTAGAGCATCTCTGATCAAGCAGGTGTTATCTACCGATATATCTCTTGGGAACTGGGTAAAAAGAATCAGCCCTGTTGGATTGAATAGTTGGCTAGCCTAATTTTGAAGATGAATTTGGTGAAAAGTAATTAAAACTTATTTGATATTGTATAATAAATTAATTTGATATTGTATAATAAAATAATTGATATTGTATAATATAATTAAAACTAAGTATACGGGGGGGGGGGGGGGTATTGGAATCAGCAATCCCGTTGTCTGTATGAATTGCAGCTTAAAACCAGTCTGACATTAAATCTAAAAATAGTCAAGTATTTAAAAAAAATGTTTTAATTATGGTAGATAGTCCCTACAAATCTAAGAGTAGTGCAGGAACCTTATAAAAAATATTGCATCCAGATTACACAAGTTTTTTTTTCTTTTTATAAATGTTTGTAACAAATAAAATCAAAGTACTGAAAGTACTGGGAAGCGCTAAGCATGTTGCAATTTGAAATTCATCAGAATTACTTTGAATTTAAATTGCCTGTTGTATTGGAATTTAAGCAATATCTTGACAGTGCGGCTTCGCTAGGGCGAGCACAGTTGTTAAATACATAATCAAACCTGTGAGTCATGAAAAGAGGGTGTTGCAGTTCTTTTGTTATTTTCCCTCAAGTTGTAGCAGTTTAAAAGAAAAATTTTAAGTAACAGAAAACGGTCTTAATTTTTTTCAGATACAACGGTATATACAGCACAATGTAGAACAATATTTAGAAACTGCATATCGACTTCCAATTTGCCATTAAATGAATTATAAATTAGTCACATAGCAAAATAAGTCAAGTATTCTGTTTTTCAAATAGGGAATCCCCATTTTTCTGAAAAATTGCCTCCTTGAAACAGAATGAATTTGATTACACATAAAGAGACGGGATTTTTCTTCAAAACTGCCATTTCCGATTTTTGTTTCAAAGAGGCATATTTTTGAAAATCACAAAAATCGAATAAAAATTATAATCCATCCGAAATGCAAAATGTGCACATAAAATAGCACATAATACTTCACTGTCGGAGCTGGTCTAGTGGTAAAGCGTGTGGACTCTATGCAAAGATTGTTTTACCTGAGAATGGGTTCGAATCCTAGAATGGCTGGTATCTATATGCATATTTTTTTTTTATATAATGGAAGTGCAATGTTACAAATCTCTTGAGAGAGAAAGAGAGAGGGAGAGAATGTCAGAAAATTAACGGGTAATATTTTAAATGCATGCAGAATTAAATTGTTTTCCTTGATATTGTGATCTAAAAGTAATAAGACATAATTTTATATCTAATGTAATTATCTAGTGGCGATGTCTTTAAAAATAAAGTACTATCATTTTAAATAATTTAATTTTTTCATACGCATTTCGTTTCATTATTGTTCTGTTAATTAGTGGCTCAGATTTGATTTGAAACAACTACAATTGAAATGACTCAATGGAATTTCTTGGATATTGCATCGACAGCGTGATTATTGGACACATTTTTATATATATTGAAAAATATTAACGCACGCTGTCTACAGTACATCTTTCAAAATGATGTGCGAGGTGCACTTGCCATTAATTTTGCTTTTTATCGTTCTAACTTTTCTCGTGCAAATTGGCGACAGTGACCATAGATGTGAAAAAAAGTTTACTTACAAGTCGCCAGTCTATGTTAGGAAAAACATATGCAAGAAATAAACGTAATGTTAAATGTTTTGTTATAACAAGCTGGGCATACCCGTCGTATAAATTAAGTCGTCTGCGCAGCACATCACTCTTCATGCGTCGTGGTATTTAAATGTCCTTCTCGATATAGGGAATAATCACGAGTTTCTGCAACACCCTCTTTCCCGTTGGGATATGAAATTCAACATTGTCTTATGCCTTTTTATTTTAAGCATTTTACATTTTCTTCTTTTGTCAAAAGGTCAATCAATTTCACACACAAGAAATTGTATGAAAATATTTCTCCGTTTCTTAAAAAAAAAACCAAACAGTATATACAAATTAAATGGCAGATATTTACTCCTGTCCAAACAGCAATGTATTTCTCAGACTTAATGAAAAAAAAAATAGAAAAAAATACATGTAAACATATTTTCTTTCTCCATCTCCTTATAGGAGTCTATAAGAAGTAGCTTTGCGTATAAATGGCAATTTATTGGAGGGGGATGGTCGACGAGTTTTT